TCCTTCCCTCCCTCCCTCTCTCCCTCCTTCCCTCCCTCCTTTCCTTTCCTTTCCTTTTTTCCCCCCCAGTCTTGGGGCTTGAAATCAGAGCCTGGACACTGTCCCTGAGCCGCTTTTGCTCAAGGCTAGCACTCTACCACTTGAGTCACAGCACCACTTCTGGCTTTTTCTGTTGATGTGGTACTGAGGAATCAAACCCAAGGCTTCATACATGCTAGGCAAGCACTCTACCACTAAGCCACATCCCCAGCCTCCTCTCCCTCTCCCTCTCTCCCTCTCCCCTGTCCCTCTTTGTTTTTTTAGTTGGTTGGTCACAGGGCTTGAACTCTGGGCCTGAGCCCTGTCCCTCAGCTCTTCAGCTCAAGGCTAGCACTCTACCACTTGAGCCACAGCACCACTTCCGGTTTTCTGGTGGTTTATTGGAGACGAGTCTCACAGACTTTGTTACCTGGATTGGCTTTGAACCACAATCCTCAAAGCTCAGCCTTCTGAGTAGTTAGGATTACAGGTGTGAGCAACAAGCACCTGGCTTTTTTTTTTCTTTATTGTGGTTTACAAAACGCAAAATTTACCATTGTCATGTTTTAAGTGTACAGCTGAGTAGCATTAACCTAATCCACTATTCTGAAGTAGATCTGCAGAACTTTTGCATCTTTTAGAACTAAAATGCCATGTTGCTGGCAACGAACATTCTACATATTACCCTTTGTGTGTGTGTGTGTTTGTGTGTGTGTGTGTGTGTGTGTGTGTGTGTGTGTGTGTGTGTACTGGAGCTTGAATTCAGGGCCTCTTGCTTTTGCTTGGCTTTTTTACCCAAGACTGGTGCTGTACCACTTGAGTCACACCTCCACTTCTAGTCTTTTACTGGTTAATGGAAGATAAAGGTCTCACAGTCTTCTCTGTCAAGGCTGTCTTTGAACCATGATCTTCAGATGGTAGTCTCCTGAGTAGCTAGGATTACAGGCATGGAGCCATCAGTGCCCAGCTTGCTTTTTGTCTCCGAATGCGAACACCCTGCAGACATTTTTAAATTGGGATAATAAATAGAGTCATTGTCTTCTATGCCTTGCATATAATGTCCTCAGTGTTCATGCATGTAGTACTGTGTGGCAGGATTTCCTTTTTAGGGCTATATTCCATCGTATATGAATAACATCCCATTCCAAAGTGATTCTAATGGACAAACCTCATCCGTGCGTGGGCGTGGGTTTCTTCTGCCTCTTTGTTCTTGTGAATCATGCTGTTATGAGCGCATATGAGCACATTAATACCACAAGAGACCTTGCTTCCTGATCTTTCAGATTCCCCCAGGTAGGATTGCTGGATGGTCTGGTAGTTTTCCAATGGACAGCCTCCATACAGTGTTCCATAGTGGTTGCAACGTTTTAGAGCCTCAGCAACAGTGCACAAGGGCTTCATGTCTTCATATCCTCATCAACACATTACTTTATGGGGGGGGGGGGCGTGCGCTGGTCCTGGGGCTTGAACTCAGGCTGCTGTCCCTGAGCTTTTTCATTCAAGGCTAGTGCACTGCTATTTGAGCCACAGCTCTAATTCTGGCTTTTTTAGTAGTTAATTGGAGACGAGTCTCAGATTACAGGCATGAGCCCCCAGTGCCCAACACTTTATGGGGTTTTTGATCGCAGCCCAATCAGATGTGAGAGGGTCCCTCACTGTGGTTTTAACCTATAGCTCTGTTCGTTGGTTGATCATTTTTGCACCTTTGATGCCCATTTGGGTGCAGACCCTTTCTGCCAAGAAGTGTTCTGAGGAGGCCTACCTTTTTCTGCTTATGTGGTGCTGAGGAATTGAACCCAGAGCCTCATGCAGGCAAGGCAAGCGCTCTACCACTGAGCCACCTTCCCAGCCCATCCAAACCTTTTATATAATTCTGTAGTCTCTGCCTCCCCTCTCCCTGCCTTCCCAGAAGGGTCCTGTGTGGAGCTGATAACCAAGCTCCCCTTGGGCTGAGTTGCAACTCAAAGCAAATAGGAATGCTTTGGCTCGAGTCCCTTCTGTGTCTATGTGGAATAATTCTTTTTTTTTTTGGTCAGTCATGAGGTTTGAACTCAGGGCCTGGGAACTTTTTTTTTTTTTTTTTTTTCCTTCTCAAGGCTAGCATTCCACCACTTTGAGCCACAGCTCCACTTCTGATTTTCAGATGCTTCATTTGTGATAAGAGGCTCACTGACTTTTCTTCCCCAGGCTGGCTTCGATCCAGGATCCTCAGATCTCAGCCTCCTGAGTAGCTAGGATTTTGAGACCACTCTTTTGGATAGGCCCAGAGCCTTTTCTCAAATCTGCCCTGCCAGACTCTGGCTAGCCTGATTAGCTTGCCCAGCCTTCCTGGCATTCCATGAATATCACCTGGCTCCAGGACCATAGTTGGTAGCTCTATGTGGGGCAGTGATTTCAGTGGGTCCAGGAAGAGTTCTCCATGGCGGGCAACTGGGGGCAGAGGCTGCATTCAAGGAGTTCTCTCTCGTATCAAGCTTCCTCAATTCCCTCCCCTCCAAAAAACCAAAAACTACAGCTGGCCAGTCCCCTCCTCCCTCCGTGTGCGCCACACACACACACACACACACACACACACACAGCCTGGCCCCAGCCCAATGGCAGCTCAGGAATGTTGAGTGACGCCTCTCCCTTTCCAAGTGGTCTGAGAGGCTCAGGCTGCCCTGCCTGGAGTCCCACGTTGTCCCTGCTGTCCTGGGTTGGAAGCAAAAGAGTTTAAGGCGGTCTATGGAAGCCTCCGAGGCCTGTAGAGGACTAACACGGGAGAAGACGGTCACAATGTAAGCCGCAGGTAGACCGAGGGCCCAACCACCTGTCACTTCATGCGGGACTGATGTGGCCAGAAGGGTGGCGTGGCCTAAGCCCTGCTCTTGGCTTAGCTCCTGGGGAAATCTGTCTTCACCTTCCCCATCTCTCATGGTGTGCTAGGACACATGGAGTTGTAATCTATGCCAACCCCTGACCACTACCCACATCTAGGTTGAAACCAGGCCCGAGCCCAGGGAAGGAGCTTCAGAAAGCCACATCTGCCCAGCAGGCTGCTGAAGGCAGGGCCAGGACTCCCTCAGGAGTCCGCTGCTTCATCCCCTGTGTGCAGTGGGAACAATGTATGTGAGGGAGAGGGGGGAACAGAAGCTCCCATCATCCCCTCCACCCCCACTGTGTGCATGGGATTCAGCAACTCCCACCAGTGGCAGCTTCCCAGATCTCTCTGATGGTCCTGGCTACTCAAGGCAGGTGTTCTGGCATGGGGAGAAAAGCCCCAGAGGTTCTCCCTGCCCTTCTTCAATCCCTGCTCTGTCTGTGGCACAAGTAACTGCCAGCCTTCCGTTTCCACATGTATTGCATCCATCACCTGCAGATTCAATAGGCATCAACTGGAAATGTTCAGAAGAAACAATTCTAAAAAGCGACACTAGAATTTGCCAACCATTCACCCAGACACGGTGAATCCATATAAATGCAATAAACATGGTGCTAGCCCAGGCTCTGTGCAGTTAGGCCTAGGATAGTTGCATCTCTACTGAGCTCATACAGAGCAAACAAGCTAAGAGCACTCAGGCCCTGAGTTCAAGCCCAAGAACCAGTACAAAATAAAAATTATATACATATATACACACACACACACATATATATATATATCCACACACAATATATACACAGAAGCATATGTGCCTTTCTATACAAGGAAATTGAGCTCAAGGGGGATTTTGACAACCACAGAGTACCCTAGAAACAACCCCTCACACAATAAAATCGCGGGACCAAGATGTTATGCCTATCAGGGAAATGTGCTTCAGATTCTCGGAATTGTTTTCTCCCCACAAACGTTAGCATCACCTGGGAACTTGCTAGAAATGGGCCTCTGCTCCCAACCTGACCTCTTAAGTGTGGGGCAGCTGCTGTGTGTTAATAACTAGCCCTGAAGGCGGTTGCAATGGGTGCTCAAGTTTGACAAGTCCTGCCCGGGAACACAATGTGATTCTTAATAGGTGTGACTGCTTCACTGTTAGCACCAGGCACCTATGTCACCGAAACCCAACCATGTGGGAGTCTGTCCACACTCAGAGGCGGACTCACGCCTGTAATGCCAGCCCACCCAAAGACTCCCATCTCCCATTTACGCGGCCAGGACAAACGCTGGAAGCGAAGGTGTGGCACACGTGGTAGGATGCCAGCCTGGAGCGGAGCGGGGTGGGGTGGGGAGGCCCAGAGTTCAAGTCCCAGTCCTAGCACCAAAAGGGAGGGATTGAGTAGAGGGGGAGGGTCGGAGGGGGGGAGAATGAGAGGCGGCGACAAGCCAGCCACCGGCCAGAGCACCGGCCAGCGCTGGCTCGGGAGATGCTGGGGAGCCCTTTGTTTGAAACCTGTTTACAGTCACCCCCTAAATAATGTCCCCCTACGTCTGCGGCCGTCCAGACTTAGAGAGTTCCAGGAAGGGGCGTGTGGAACCGCATCCCGGGGCCCGAGGTGCGCGGGCCGGGGCTGGGGGTGAGGGAGGGAGGGATGGAGGGAGGAAGGGTCCCCCCAGGCGCCGCCGGGGAGCCCCGGGGAGGGGCCGGTGCGGCGGCCGGAGCCGGGCCGGGCGCGGTGGCCGCGGCCGCGCGCGGAGGAGCCAGCGCTGCCGGCGGCCCCGCCCTCCGCGGGCAGCCAATGGGGATCGGCGCGGGCGCGGGGCCGGGGCGCGGGGCGGGCGCGGCGGGGCGCGGCGGGCGCTGTCAGCGCGGGTGGGTATAAGAAAGGGAAAAGTTGCCGGCGCCGGAGCCGGGCAGGCGCACGCTCGCTCGCTCGTACGGCGGCCGCGGCGGCGGGGCGGGGCTGGCCGGGGCCGGCAGGGGCGGCGGCGGCGAAGGCGAAGGCGGCGGCGGCGCGAGTCCCCGGGGAAGGCGACCTCCTCCCCGCCGCCCCCTCCTCCTCCGCCCGCGGCGCGGACGCGGCACGCGGCAGCATCCCCCTCCCCGCGCCCCGCTCCCCACGCCCCGACCCCCGAGGACGCAGCCATGAGCGGCGTCGGGGAGCCCGGCGGGGGAGGCTCGCGGCCCCGGGAGGAGCCCCCGCCCCGCGCGGCGCCGCTGCCCGCCCTCCGCTGGGAGCAGATCCGCCCGCACCACCTGCCCGGCGACAAGTGGCTGGTCATCGAGCGCCGCGTCTACGACATCAGCCGCTGGGCGCAGCGGCACCCGGGGGGCAGCCGCCTCATCGGCCACCACGGCGCGGAGGACGCCACGGTAAGGCGCGGGGCCGGGGCCGGGGCGGGGGGCGAAGATCCGGCGCCGCCGCCGCCGCCGGGGTGCGGGGCCCCGAGCATCGCCGCCTCTTCTACCTCGGGGGCCTTAGCATCCTTCCTGCCCTGGCTGACCTTTGACCTCCGTGTTGGGATGGAGTGGGGGGGGTCGGTCGGGGAGGGGGCCGTCCGAGGTGGGCGTGCCGCGGCCTGCCCTAGGCGGGGCCTTCCCTGGAGCTCCGGGTACCCCCCCCCCCCGCCCCGGCCCCCAGCAAGGCAGGCATCGCGCCTGGTGCTGGGAGCTGGCCATGGGGGTCCCCAGAGCCGAGGCAAGGGCTGGGCCAATCCGGAGAGGCTGGGAGCTGGCAGGGCCTGGAGGTCTGTGGCTTTTAACCTCTGTCCCTCCCCCACATCTGCTCCCCCCCCCCCCCAACTGCTCTCAGGGCCAGTGACTCACCTCTGCTGGGCTGGCAGCTCCACGTGGGAAGATTTTGCCAGCCAGGCTGGGTGGGCCTCCTCAGGAAGGACAGTCACCCCAGGAGCAGGACGGTCCCCCGGGACCCTGGCTTCCCATTCCCAGCTCTAGTCATAGACCAGAAGGGGTGTGGCCAGGCTCAGCGCTGGACCGGCTGGCTGGAGCGCCCCCCTCCCCTCCCCCTCCCCTCTCCGTCCCCTCCCCTCCCCCCTCCCTCCCCCCTCCCCTTCCCTGTGGAGGGGGCCTATCAATAGCAGATTTAGCAGCCTCCCTTTTCCTCAGGCCCCTATCTGGGCAACAGGGGTTGAGGCTACCCTGCTCCATCCTTGATCAGCAAGAATTCTGATAAACCATTATACACACACACACACACACACACACACACACACATATGCCCTGTAATCTTAAGTATACAGGAGGCTGAGATCTGAGGATCCTGTTTCAAGAGACTGTCCAAGAGACTCTTGTATCTCCACTTAACCAGCAGATAAAGCTGGAAGTGTGGCTCAAGTGGTAGAGTACCAGCCTTGAGGCAGGGAAAAAGTTAAAAGGAGAGCTCAAGGTCCTGAGTTCTAGGTCAATCACCCTATGGCTTTGAGACCGGAAAGAATGAGTCTCAGGGGAGCTTTGGCAGGTGAGCAGACTCTGCTCCACCCTAGGACTTCCGCGTCCCTCTCTCTTCTCCCTTCCTCCCAGGTTGTTGAGGGACTGGGTGAGAAGGTTCTTGAACTCAACAGCATGTGGAGTCTGGAGTGTGTGTCCATATGCATTTGAGTGTGTGTGTGTGTGTGTGTGTGTGTGTGTGGTTCTACTGGGGTATGGCAGGCATTCAATGTGGCATCTCCTCACCCTGAGCCCTAGCTGCTCTGTGAAGGTTTTAGGGGAGATCACCCTGGCATAGGACAGAAAGGGGGCGCAGGCCGGGGGAGGGGCTTCAGACTGTATTTATCCATCACTTTTCCTGCTTGGGGAGGCAGGGGGCTCCCACGTGGCATTCTCAACTTTATATTTAGCTTTTGATTGTCATTGATCCACTGTCAGTGAGCCCCATTAGAAAATGAAAAGCAAGAGAGAGATCTCTTGTTTCCTTCCATATCTTGGAATTCGCACACACACACACACACACACACACACATGCACGCACACACGTATGACCTTTTTAAACGGTTTTTTTATTTTTTGATGATTTTTTTGCCTTCTTTATGTATGACGTATTCATGTCAGGAGCGTGGGGGGAGGGCACAGAACTTGAGGGAAAACCGGTGAAAAAGAGCGGGAGCTCGCTGGACATTGATGAAAGTGAACTACACAACTCTTATGGGTGGAGACAGGAGGGAGGCTGGGAAAGAGCGAAGGACAGAAGATACTGGATGGAAGGAAATGTACTCATTACCTGACTCATGTAATTGTAATCCCTGTGTACACCACCGCTCTGATAACAATAAAATAAATTAATTATTAAAAAAAAATCTGTTCTCTAGGGCTGGATCCTAGCTCTCCCACTGCAGGCTCTACATGGCCGTAAGCAGGCATGCCACTCCTTGGAGCCTGAGTTTCCTCATCTGTCACGTGGGGAGAGCAGGGGCCAAATGGCAAGCTGGCCTCGTTGGCAGGAACATATCTAATTATGTGGCCCTAGGCCGGCCATGTTGTCGATGTGTAGTAAATGTGGCTAGCCTCTCAGTATGAGTGCGTCTATGCAGTGCACTGGGCCACCTTGTCTGGCCCTAACCCAGTGTAATAAGAAGGACTACTTAGCTTCTTCAAAGCTCCAAACACTGGGCTGGAGTAGCCAGAAATACCTGGTCTGCTCAAGCCACAACGACAGGGAGGTGGCTGGATATATAACCCCCCCTGGCTTCGTTCATTACGGCTTCACAGGCATACTAGGAACTAGACTAGCCAGACACTCTGTATGATCAAGCTCAGATGCCAAGCACCTCATCCCAGGCCCTGGAATTCAGGTGTGTGTGGGAGGGCGCTCAGCCCCCTCTCACCAGCTGTTCTTATGTCCAGGCAACAGAAGCCTTCCTGCCAGGAAACGCTCTGAGTTCCTGTGCCATGAAGTCAATCTGTGACCATCCTGGGATACAAAACCCAGTGCCCTGGGGAGAGCACTCTGGGCCTTAGGCCAGGTTTGTGTAAGATCCTGAGACTAACAGGACCAGCCAGCCAGGCCTAGCCACTGCTGGCCTAAATATATATAGGGGCCACACACTGAGCATCTTCTATGTGCTTGACTCTAAATTCAGTACTTGTTATTGCTAATCTTTCAATTCTCAGGGTAGCTGGACATCTGTGGCTCATACCTGGAATCTCAGGAGACTGAGAACTGAGAATTGTGGTTCAAAGCCAGCCCACGCAGCAAATTCCAAAAAGCCAGACACACATACACACACAGAGGAGGAGATCCCTAATGGAGAGGGCAAAGGTAGAGAGCCTCCCAGGAGAAGGGCAGGGATGGTAGTAGCCTGTTTTCCCTTTGGGGAGGCCATGCATAAGGCGCCATTCTCCTGGTCCTCAAAGTGTGAGCATGGCCAAGAAAGAAGATTAAGAGATGCTGTGGACACAAGGACACTGGTGGGAACCATTCCCTATCAGTTTCCCTATCAGTACAGATCAGAGTGCTGTCATCCTCAATGACTTGGTTGTCATGAGCAACCAAGACCATAGAGAGGGGGAGGATTTTCCCAGCACTCTGCAGTGTCCTTTGGGCTGAGGCACCAAGAGTTGTGGGAGGATCCAGGATCCAACAGACCCCTGAGCCACCCATCCAGGGAGCTTCCTGCCAGTCCCAGGATGGAGGTGTTTAGTCAGTACCACCATCCCAGGCCATGCCATGGTGTTAGATTAGTCTTCGGTTTCGGATGCTGTGATGGTTATCGTTGGCCTATTTTGCAAATGAGGAAACGGAGGCCAAAAAGAATAATGAGACCTGCCTTTCTTGGGACCCTGATAGGATGCGACCTTCATCAGGGGGGGCTTGGAAAGTGAGATTTGTGTCTGGATGAAAGCTGAGGAGGGACAGGGCAGATCTGAGGCCACGTGAGAGCACAGAAGTGCCAACATCTGGACCCAGTGACCTGTTTCTACCTGTCACATTGGTGGCCTTCAGCCACTGTGGGCCTTTAGCAACCTTATTCCCCTCCTACCCGCCTCATGCTGCCATCTAGCCTGGCTCTTTTCCCCTAGCAGGCTTCTCCAGGGGAGGAGTTGGGCTTGTCTGGCGCTGGCAGGAATGCAGTCTGCAGAGGTGGGAATGCTGGTGACCTCAGCGTAGGGGACAGCTGTTCCCATTCTTCCCCCAGGGTGTCCGGGCTGCCACAAGTTTCTGATAAAGCAGTCCAGGCTCCAGTGGTGGAGTGAGGACAAGAATGCCAGAGTGCCTGGCTGCTTTGGTGAAGCCAAGGGTTTAACGCACGTGCTCACCCTTCATTTGGACCCCGGGGATGCTGGAGCCAAGGGCAGCTTCCTTCGGGGCATCTGCCTGTAAGCTGGGCTCCGTTACTAAGGCTGGGATTGGATGGGCCCTGTTCAGCGTGTGCCTTGGTTTCCCCCTTGGTTCTCACCTCTGTAAAAAGGGCAACTTTTTACATCCCTATTCTCCCCGCTGGAAGGGGTCGCAGGGAGGAAAATGGCAAAGCACACTTACATGCAGGGCCTGGGTTCCTTGCTTTATACACCAACCTGGGAAGAGCAGAGAGGAGGGGATTTGCTGGGGGTTTCCTTGGAAACCCAGTGCCCACCTCCCCCTAGCAAAGGTGCCGGGAAGTAGCAAAGAACACACCACCTGGGCCTCAGCAGGGCCTTTGTGGCCCATTCCAGGTCCTTCCTGGCTCATCAAGAACACTCATCATTCTTTGGCCAGTGACCAGAACTCCCTCCCCGCCTCCTCCTCCATATTTGGGGTAGACGACGGCTGCTCCCCCTGCCTGTCCCTCCTGAGCCTGGACTTGACTGACAGATCTGCAGCCACTGACTTCTAGGGTCACATCCGGGCCGTGGGACTCAGATGAGATCTTGGCTATGGGGCACTTGCTGGCCACTAAGGCCCCTTTTAAGCGCTTTACCTCTGTGACTCAGGCTTCCCAGCAGTCTGCAAGATGGCCATTAGTGGCCTCCATTTCACTGATGAGGAAATGCGGAGTAGATGGAGCAGGAGTGGCATTGTCTGGGGCTCCTTGGCTCCTAAGTGGCTGCTCAGGTTCCAGCCGGGGCAGGCAGGCTGATTCCAGTGTGTCCCTCTCTCTCGCCCCTCCCCGGTAGGTCCCCCTCCCCCTCTGCGCTAGCCTGCAGCTACTTAGTGAGAAGCAGGGGCAGTGATGGCCAGCCCAGCCACTTGGAGGTTTGCAGGGACCGAGATCCCTGCAAAGACTGTAGCTATCTTCTGACAGAGTTTGAATGGCGTGTGAAGCCCAATTCTGACATGACAAACTCTCACTAGCAAATGGGGCTGCAGAGATGAGTCTGGTCCACTTCTTTTCTTTTTTTTGCCAGTCATTGGGCTTGAACTCAGGGTGTGGGTGCTATACCTGAGCTCTTTTGCTCCAGGCTAGCTAGCACTCTATCACTTTGAGCCACAGTGCCACTTCCTCTCACTTTCTTCTTAAAGACCTTCACCACCTTAAGCAGAGGTCAAGGGAGGACTGGTCACATGACCCTAGCCAGGAATATCCCGCTCAGTCTGAACTCAGTGTCCAGGAACCTACTTTACCAATGCTCCTTGCCAGCATGAGAACCCCGGCTCCATTCACAGTGCCCCCTCAGCCCCAGGACTGTTGGACAGCCCCAGCCTGTTGCCCCCTGCCTGCCCCTTACCACTAACTAGAGCCCTGACTGCATTCCTGAACATTTCTGGCCAGTCTTCCAAGGCCAGGGGGAGGGGGGTGGAGGGAGGGAGGGAGGGCTCACATCTTTCTTTGTAAGAGACAGACTCAACTGGAAAGACGCTTGGGTGGGCCTTGCTCTGCGTCCTCCTCTGGGCTAGTGCATGAATTCAGCACTGGGGAGAGGAGGCAGGGCTGTCCTCCGTCCTGGTGCCTCCGTTTCTCAGATCCCCAAACAGACACAGGGGACAAGAGAGGGAAAAGCTGGATGGGAGGAAAGGTTAGACCTGTATCATGTACCTGTGTGTGTGCAAGATTATGTCCTAAGTCTAGATTGTGTGTGTGTATGTGTGTGTGTGTGTGTGACTGCCTGCCTGCCTTCCTGTGGCTCTGTGTGCACTTGGGTTCTGTGTAGCACACCTTTCACGAGCACTCAGCCTTAAAAGAAAGGCACTTCTGGCACAGGCTACACTACAGAAGGGCCCGCAGGACACGAGGCTAAGTGAAATGAACCGGTCACAAAAACATCGTATGAGCCACTTAAATGCGGTTCCCGGAGTGTGGAGAGAGTGGCGTGGCCAGTGCCAGGGGCTGAGAGGGAGGGGAGGGCACAGCACAGGGACTATAGGGTTTCAGCTGAGAAACTTCTGGAAATCAGTAGGGGCGATGAATGCTCAACCACATGAAATTATTCAATGCCGGGCTGGGAAGGTTCGGCTCAGTGGTAGAGCACTTGCCTTGCATGCTCGAGGCCCAGGTTCGATTCCTCAGCACCACATAAGAAAAAAGCTGGAAGTGGCGCTGTGGCTCAAGTGGTAGAGCACTAGCCTTGAGCTGAAGAGCTGAGGGACAGCGCCCAGGCCCAGAGTTCAGGCCCCACGACCGGACCCCCCCCAAAAAAAATTTAATGCCACTGAATAGGATACCAGAAAATTATTCATTGAGATAGTTTATCATCCCAACAGTGGCTCCCGCCTGTAATCCCAGCTAACTCAAGAGGCTGAGATCTGAGCATCGAAGTTTGAAACCAAGCCCGGGCAGGGAAGCCTGTGAGACTCCTTATCACCAGTTAACCATCAAAAAGCTGGAAGTAGAGTTGTAGCTCAAATGATCGAACGCCAGCCTTGAGAGACAGCATCCAGGCTCTGAGCTCAAACCCTGGTACAAAAGAAGAAAAAATAAGTTAATGCTTAACAGCCTAGAGCGAGCAGGGCTCTGAACTCTCTGACTTGGTTTCCCCAGGAAATGGAAGCTGGTGATTAGGTCAGCAGAGTCCCCAAGACTAATCTTCCCTTGTGGCTCCTTTGCCCTAACCAACCCCAGCTCCTGAGGAGCTTCCTTGGGCCCTGGCTCCCCTCACCTCTTCTTTTCTTCTCCTTCAATGTTCATTTCCAAGTTTGCCTCTATTGAGACCCACATTGGCCTGGATTATTCTAGAAGCTGCAACTTCCAGCCCCATCCTCCAGTCCCTGGACTGCACCAGGCCAGGAAGTAAAGAAGTATTGGGAAAGAGAGCTCTAGGTGGGTCCCCCGGCAGGAATGATTTCTAAATAGTGGCCTAGGGCCAATGCCCCAGTGCTCCCTTCACCCAGGACCACGCAGAGACTACAGGACTGCCGTCACGGCCTATTTTAGTCTGTCTTTAATAGGCAATAAAGCAGGGTGTTTGTGGCTCATGCCAGTAATCTCAGCTACTCAGGAGGCTAAAATCTGAGGATTAAGATTCAAAGCCAGACCAGGGGAAGGAAAGTCCGTGAAACTCATCACCAGAAAGCTGGAAGTAGTTGTAGCTTAAGTGGTAGGGTCTTCACCTTGAATGAAAAAGCTAAGGGACAGCACCTAGGCCCTGAGTTCAAGTTCCAATACTGGCAGAAAATAAGAAAATAAAAATGGATGAGAAGAACCCATAGTCCTAGGACCTAGCAGATAGCCTAGTGCAGGAGTCTGGGAACTGACTGCGGTAGCATAGTCCTTGGATAAGCCATGTCATTTTGTGTGTGTGCCAGTCCTGGAACTTGAACTCAGGGCCTGGGTGCGATCCCTGAGAGCTTCTTTTGCTCAAGGCTAATGCCTTACCATTTGAGCCACAGCTTCATGTCCAGAGTTTTCTGAGTAGTTACTTGTGGCTTCAAACCACAATCCTCAGATCTCAGCCTCCTGACTAGCTAGGATTACAGCATGAGCCACCAGAGCCATGTCACCAGAGCAATGTCACTTTTAAACAAGCTGCTAGGCTCCTCAGGAGAGAACAATAGGGGCTCCTGGCCTTCACCAGCCTTCTTCAAAGACATTTCCTCTAGCAGCCAGAAACCCCTCAGTGACCTTTCCCAGACCCATGGGACAGGACAGGAGGTCACCGCCCAGCCTGTTTCTATAGTCCTGCTGTGTTCACCTATTCAGAAGGGGGAACCTCTGAAATTGATGGCAACAATAAAAATGAGGAACAATTAATGGGCCCAATTCATTGTCATGTGAGAATAAAGCGGTGCCAAGTATAGTACCCAAACCACCTCAGGCAGAAATCAGGATGGCTGAGCCCTGAGGTGAAGTTCAAGTGGCCTCTCACGATTTGCTGCTTTCTCCTGGCTCCTGATCTTTCTCCTTTCCTCTTGTGTCTTCCCACCCCCTTTCCTTTATCTTCTTTCTCTTGCCTTGCACCTACCCTCCAGCCCTATCACATACACACACACACACGCATGCACGCACACACGCACACATGCATACACACCAGCACGAGACTTGAACTCCAGGCTTTGTACGCTCACTTAGCTTTTCCACTCAAGGCTGGCACTCTACCAACTGAGCTACACTTCCACTTCCATTTCTTGGTTGGCTGATTGATTGGAGATAAGAGTCTCACAGACTTCACTTCTGGTGGGGTAGGGGTGGGGGTGCCTTTGAAATGTGATTCTCAGATCTCAGCCTCTTCAGTAGTTTAGGATTACAGGCATAGCCGCCAGCACCAGGCTCAAACAGCTGATGTCCTGTTCATCTTTCTGTCTGCTTTGTCCATCCATCAATGGCCCTTCTTGCCCTGTCTCTGCTGGTTGCTTGCAAGTGCAACTCCAGCTGTCTGTCTGTCTGTCTGTCCACCTGACTGTCCACTCTCCTTCAGGATGCCTTCCATGCCTTCCATCAAGATCTCCATTTTGTGCGCAAGTTCCTGAAGCCCCTGCTGATTGGAGAACTGGCCCCAGAGGAGCCCAGCCAGGATGGACCTCAGAATGTGAGGGGGTGCGGGAGGGGTTGGGGGGCCTTGCCCACTAGCAGTAGCAGATCCATCTGAATCCCACACACACACCGGGGAAGCAGAGCCAAGACTGGTCTGCCAGCCCCAGCTGTAGCCATCATGCCCTGTGGGAGGGGGGGGGGCAGATCTAGCTTGGGGTCTCTAGGCAGCCCCCTACCCTCCTCTGAATCCAGGAGCCCTATCTGCCCTGAGGATGTTTGGTGAGCTGGCTCTGGCTCTGTTAATCACACTGTGCCTTTTAGTCATCAGAGATTTGGCCATCAGCTAGTCACCCAGCTCAACCCTAGTTGTAGACTCTCACTCCTACAACTGTCACATCCTGTCCACAATTCTTGGGCCTGACATTGGGCCCTGGAAGGAGTAGCTGGGGTTCTGGGGAACTGTGGGAGGCTTCTGGGGACAGCAAGAGGCCTCGCTTCCTCTGCTGACTGGCCACTCTCCTGTGATAGACCCAGCTGATCAAGGACTTCCGAACTCTGCGCCAGGCAGCTGAGGACATGAAACTCTTTGAGGCCGATCCTGTCTTCTTCGCTCTCCTGCTGGGCCACATCTTGGCCATGGAAGTGCTGGCCTGGCTTCTCATCTACCTCCTGGGCCCTGGCTGGGTGTCTAGCACCTTTGCTGCTCTCATCCTGGCTCTCTCCCAGGTGACTCTGGGACCAAGCAACACACAACAGGGCCAGCACATGTGGGCACTGGAAAAATATCTGCTGAATGAATGAATGAATGAATGAATGAATGAACAAATAAGAGAACAACCAGATGGCCCCAAAGGTATCCCTATGGGTCACAGTGGATTCTGATGGAGCTAGGGAAGTTTCTTCCTTATTTAATAAGCTTTGAGCAAGCACAGGTTGGGGAAGTCACAGCAGAAGGTCACAGCTCCATGTCAAACTTGTGTAAGGGAAGAAAGGTCCCAGCCCATCCCAATGACAGATGACAGGTTCTCAGAGGAAAGCATGGCATCATAGTTTATTCTACCATAGTTTTATAGGACACAGGCTCCTGCAGATTGAAGATCCAAAGACTCCAGTAATCTCTCTCTCTCTCTCTCCCTTTCTCCCCTTTTCCCCCCTCCCCCTTTTTTTTTTCAAATCCTGGGGGCTTAAACACAGTGCCAGGACAGTCCTGGAGCTTCTTTTGCTCAAGGCTAGTACTCTACCATTTGAGCCACAGTGCCTAGTCTAGCTTCTTCTGTTTATGTAGTACTGAGAATCAAATCCAGGGCATCATGCATGCTAGGCAAGCACTCTACCACTAAGCCACATTCCCAGCCCTTCATCTATCTATTTTTTTGTTGTAGAGCTTAAACTCAGGGCCTGGGTGCTGTCTCTGAGCTCTTTTGCTCAAGGCTAGTGCTCTACCATTTGAGCCACAGCACCACGCCACCTTTTTTGGGGGAGGGAGGTAGTTTCTTGGAGATAAGAGTCTCATGGACTTTCCTGCCTGGGCTAGTTTGGAACCTCGATCTCAGATCTCAGTTCCTGAGTAGCAAGGATTACAGATGTGAGCCACCAGGCCTGGTTTGGCCTGTCCTTATTTATTTATTTGTTTGTTTGTTTATTTTTGAACACTAAGCCACATTCCCAGCCCAACCTATTCATTTTTATACTTAGGTTCATGAAGCCACCATAATATAAATATGATGACATGAAAAGGGCCAGAAATAATGACTAGACAGGAAACCTAGTGAGGTCTGTCCAGATTCTTCTGTTTGTTCCTCCCAGCTATGTGGGGGAGGGTCTTAGTATCTGCTATCATGTAGGAGAGGTGTGAGGATTTATGGCCAGCTCCAAGACAAATGGGAAAATTAGAGTCAAGATTTTTCGGCCTTTGGCTGGGTCTTGGGAAAGAGAGGCTGTGGTTTCCATGACACACCCTGAGGAAGAGATTGTCTTGAGGGAGGAAAGGATGCAGGAGTTAGGAAGCCTAGGGAAGATTGGAGATGTGCTTGGCTTTGGGGTATGTATGTCCCAGCACTTGAGATTTCCTCCCTCTCTGACTCACCTGCCCTGATCTGTAAAACGAAGCACTGTCCGCTCGGACTTGGAGTGGGGCATTAGCAGTGGGCAGATCCAAGGATCTGCAGAGAGCCTGGAGCTCTTTGCCCTCCCTGCCTGGGCTCCCTTCACCAGCTCCTGACCCACCCCTCTCCCCAGGCCCAGAGCTGGTGTCTACAGCACGACTTGGGCCACGCCTCCATCTTTAGGAAGTCCCGCTGGAACCAGGTGGCCCAGCAGTTTGTGATGGGGCAGCTGAAGGTGAGCAGAGGTAGATGGGTGGGTGGGCAGCCAGGGGCTTAGCCGGGGCACTGGGCTGGGTCTGTCCCAGTGTGGGGGCACCCAGTGTGGGTGCACGGCCTGAGCTTCCACCTCCCCACAGGGCTTCTCTGCGCACTGGTGGAATTTCCGTCACTTCCAGCACCACGCCAAGCCCAACATCTTGAACAAAGACCCAGATGTGACCCTGGCGCCCGTCTTCCTTGTGGGGGAGTCATCTGTGGAGGTGGGTAGGGAAGGGCACAGGTCCCCCCCCCCACACCCAGGCCAGGCCAGCACCTCAGGGGACATGGCAGCGGCCGAGCTACCTGCCCATCTGGTCCCCAGGCTTAGTTCCCACTCTAGCTCTAGCTCCAACCCCTGGCCCAGTGTGCTTTCTCCCCATCTCCTTAGCCAGGGCCTGGTTGCTAGAATCTAGAGTTGCCCTTGACCTTGGCCTCATCAGCCCCTTGAACTTGGCCTGGAGGGCTGTTCTCCCTTAGCCCACCGCCTGTCTCCACAGTACGGCAAGAAGAAACGCAGATACCTACCCTACAACCACCAGCACCTGTACTTCTTCCTGAGTGAGTGCCTGCCAGTCCTCCGGGGGTAGGGGCCTGGAGGGGCCACACCTGAGCCTCTACTGCCCTCCCCATGGTCCTGAGGGACCTCAGCCACCTCTGGCACTGTGAGGTTTCCCCCAGGAGCGGGGGGCGGGGAGGGGGGAGGGCGGGCGGTGCAGGACATGGTGGGACAAGAGCGGGCCTTGTGGGTGATGAGGGCTTGGCCCAGGCCCAGCATCAGTAATGATGCGCACTCCTGGAGGAACAGAAGCCTCTTCCCGCTCCATGCCCACCCTGCCTTGGCACCCTAGCCCGGCTCCTGTGCTCTCGCTCCTTCTTGCAGTTGGACCCCCACTGCTCACCCTGGTGAACTTTGAAGTGGAAAACCTGGCATATATGCTGGTGTGCATGCAGTGGACGGTGAGTGACATGTGGCTGTGGGCGGGGCCACAGGGACAGCTTTGTCCCTCCATGAATGCAAATAGGTGCCCCTGTGTACACCATGGGGGTATGGGTGGGTGCAAGGGTGCACGCGGCTGTATGTGGGACACGGGGGTGGAGCATGGGTCTCTGGGAGGTTGTGACTCCATAAGAAATCATTGAGACACTGACTGTGCCAGGTATCTGAGACCCTGGTTGGGGCTACTCCAATGCACCCTTCATGGTCCGCTCTGAGCTAATGTGTCTGGGACCTTGTCCATTTATCCAGCTGGAAAAAACAAACAAACCCAGAAGCCTAGGGAGAGCCAGTGGCCCGGCCAGGGCCCTGAGACGAATGAAAACAGAAGACTGGGTGGCCCTAGATCCTCTCAGTCTCCCCGCCACCCCTTCCCCCCCACTCCAGCCACCTGGAGGCCACTCAGCATTTCCTCTACCCTCCTCGCAGGACTTGCTCTGGGCCACCAGCTTCTACTCTCGTTTCTTCTTGTCCTACGTCCCTTTCTACGGTGTCCCTGGGGCGTTGCTTCTCTATGTGGCTGTCAGGTATGGCCAGATGTGGAATGGCAGGGAGTGTGTAGGTCACACAGGAGCCTCTATTTGCCCCTCTCAGAGTGGGCACCAATGGTACTTCTCTGGGTGGCTAAGGGGAAATTGGGCCCAGAGGCTGGGCAGGTGACCTCTCTGAAGCAGGGTTACTCCGCCTTCAGGCTCCTGGGGGACAATCCGTTCAGTTTTTGTCAACACCAGGAAGGGAGACTTGCAGAGTCCTGGTTTACAGATCAGGGCGCTGGGGCTCAGGTCTGGGATAGCCACACTGGAGTGTCCACTCAGGGGGCTCAGTGTGAGCTGGGTGTGGGGGAGTACCTGAGCCTCCCCCTTAGGGTCCTGGAAAGCCACTGGTTCGTGTGGATCACACAGATGAACCACATCCCCAAGGAGATCGGCCATGAGAAGCACCAGGACTGGGCCAGCTCTCAGGTGGGCAGCAGCAAGGGCTGGGTGGGCACTGTGCTGGGTGGAGGGCTCCTAGCTCAGAGCTAGCAGGGCAGGGCTGGGTGGATCCTGGCGGGGCTGCCATGTGTGGGAGGGATGGTTGGGGGTCCGGATCAGAGCCGGCTTCCCTCATCGATGCCCTGCTTGCTCCTCGCAGCTGGCAGCCACCTGCAATGTGGAGCCGTCGCTCTTCCTTGACTGGTTCAGCGGGCACCTCAACTACCAGATTGAGCACCAGTGAGTATTACCCAGAGGACCTGATGGGTAGGGGCTGTCCCAGCATCCCCCTCTCCAGTTTTCCCAGAAATCCAAGGCAAAGTCCTGCACTGGCCAGGGACTCTGGGAGAGGTAGGAAGGGGGGTCCTGGAGGTGAAGAGAGGGTACGGCCCTCTACTGCAGGTGTCAGCTATTCCTGACACACCACCCCCTTCCCAGCCTCTTCCCTACCATGCCAAGGCACAACTACCACAAAGTGGCCCCGCTGATCAAGTCGCTGTGTGCCAAGCATGGCCTGCATTATGAGGTGAAGCCCTTCTTCACCGCCCTGGTGGACATCATCAGGTAAGGCTGCATCCAGCCTCTACTTTGCCCTACTCAGCACCTCCCCACCCCCAGGCAGCTGGCCTCTGAGCCATGTGGGGGCCTTCCGAAGAACTGGTGTTCCAGGCCTTTTTAGATCAGCACAGGCCTTCCTTCCCTCCCCTATGACTCATCCACACAGAGAATTCATAGAGCACCTACAAATGCATCAGTGTGTAATACAGGCCAGAGGTCCTGCCTCCCTGGAGCTGACTTTCCAGGTGGGGAAAACACAGCAAGCAGCTTTGGAAGAAAAAAAAAAAAGAAGAGCCAGGTACTAGTGGCTCATGTCTGTAATCCTAGCTGCTCAGGGGGCTGAGAGCTGAGGATCATGGTATGAAGTCACCCTGGACAGGAAAGTTGGTGAGACTCTGACCTGCAATTAACCAGCAAAAAGCCAGAGGTGGAGCTGTGGCTGAAGTTGGTACTGTGCCAGCCTTTAGCAGAAAAAGCTAAGGGAGAGTACAAGGACCTGAGTTCAAGCAAAATCCCAAATCCCCATGACTATTGGTACTAAAAAAATAAGTACTGAAAATGTGGGAATTGCTTTGACAAAGCAAGAAAAACCTAGGGTAAGCTGAACACCCATGACTCATGCCTGTAATCCTAGCCAATCAAGAGGCTGACATCTGAGGATCATGGTTCAAAGCCAGTCCGAACAGGAAAATCCGTGAGACTCTTATCTCCAACCAACTACAAAAAGCCAAAAGTGATGTGGCTCAAGTGATAGAGCACTAGTCTTTTTAAAATTTTTCTTGGTCAGTCGTGGGCTTGAACTCTGGGCTTGGGCGCTATCCTTCAGGTCTTCAGCTCAAGGCGAGCGCTCTACCACTTGAGCCACAGCACCACTTTCGGTTTTCTAGTGGTTTATTGGATATAAGAGTCTCACCAACTTCCCTGCCCAGGCTGGCTTTGAACCATGATCCTCAGATCTCAGCCTCCTGAGTAGCTAGGATTACAGGCATGAGCCACCAGCGCCCAGCTAGAGCACTAATCTTGAGCACAAAAGCTCAAGGACAGTGCCGAGCCCCAGAGTTCAAAGCCAAGGACCAGCATACACACAAAAACACCCCAATAAAGCCTAGGGTAGGGCTAGGAATGTGGCTTAGAGGTAGAGTGCGTGCCTAGCATGCATGAAGCTCTGGGTTCAAATCGTCAGTACCATATAAACAGAAAAAGCCGGAAGTGGTGCTGTGGCTCAAGTGGTAAAGTGCTACCCTTGAGCAAAAGAAGCTCGAAGACAGTTTTCAGGCCCCGAGTTCAAGCCCCAGGACTGGAAAAAAGAAAGAAAATAAAAGCCTAGGTAGGGTCAGGTGAAGGGAAAGAAGGCCAGGGAGAGACTTAGTTGTTAACAGGGTGACAGGTATAAGCAGGGACAGGAAGCTGATCATTGGGGCACCTGGCAGAACATTCCAGACAAAGGGTACAGAAGTTGGAAAGGTTCTAAGGTAGGCATGGGCTGGGATGTGGGAGAGCCACTCAGCCAAGGGGAGACTACCAGGTTTACATGGAGAGAAGAGCGGAGGCTCTGCCCCTGCATAGATCTCCCTCTGCTGAGCTCTGCTCGGATGTTCTTCCATCCATCCTGCTATTTCAGACTCAGGCTTCTCCTTCGTGATCTTTCCCAGCCTGATCCTCTGAGCCGTAGAGCCTTGGCTCACTCCATCCAAGCACCTGGCACAGGGTTTCCTTGTACAATTTCTGGTCCTCCCTTCCCGCACTGACTCCAGGCTCCTGGTGGGCAGATTCTGTGCACTTCCTGTATGTCATTGGCTCACAAGACTCCTTGAGTCTTGGCTGGCTGCCCTCACTGCTAGTCTAGCTCATACTCCCACCAGTGAGTGCCTGGCATCCTCTCCTGACCCCTCTCCCTGGCCCCACAGCTGCCTCCCCACGAGAACAGGGCGCCATGAGGGAGTGGGAATGGGTGAGTATCTTGGAATAGAGTCCTGATCCCTGCCTTTGCCTCCCAGGTCCCTGAAGAAGTCTGGTGATGTCTGGTTGGATGCCTATCTCCACCAATGAAGGCAGGACTTGCCCAGGTGGAGAAGTGGGGGAAGGGCCCCAGCCCCAGGACCATCAAGCCACTCCAGGCAGGCTCTCCAGTGCCATCCACGCTCGCTCCTGGTCCTGCCTCTTCCCTCCTCAGCAGCCCGATGGCCTTGGCTTTGCAGCGCCCTCAGGACCAGGGGTGGAGGGAGAGTACTTAAGGCCCTTCTGCGAAGTACAGCATGTTTTCCTAGATCAAGGATTGGGGAAAACTGATATTTTTTATATAAAAATCAACTCTATATATTATAGAGAGGTGTCGAATGTGTGTGAGTTTGGAAGCTGGCGTCTGCTGCAGCCTCCCTAGTGGGGCATTGTGTGTAGGGCGGGGGGGAAGAGGGGGGGATTGAGCTGCCTCCTCCCCAGCACATCCACTCCTCAGGATCCTGGGGTGAGTCATGGGACATGGGGTTCTGGGCCCATGGAATGCTGGAGAAGTCAGCACACCCCATCCTGCGCCGTCTCCCTCCTACAGCCCTCCAGGCAATGGGGTCCTCAGGAGGTCTTGGGGGTGGGGGCAGCACGTGGATAGTAGCGGTGAAGCCTGTGTCTGGTGGTGCCTATTCCCCAGCCCCACCCTGGGCCAGGTACTTGCTGGACAGTAATGCACTGAATAAGCCCAGCCACTTTGCCCCCTGGTATTAGAGGATTCATCCTCAGAGCAAGCACTGCCAACTCATCGGGGTTCAGCCTCCTCATCTGGACAATGGGTACAGCTAGGCCAGGCCTGGGTATTTTGGGAAAACAATTCATTTTGTTTGTCTGTATCAGACAATTCTGTATTACACAATTCATTTTGTTTGTCTGGGTGGAATTTAGGGCCTCCTCAATGCCAGTGAGTGCCACAGCCCCAGTCCCAGAAGCTGGGGACTGCCCAGAGCCCAGCGCAGAAGGCCTCAGTCTGTTCTCAAAGGATGACAGCCTGGATTTAGCACACTGCTTCCCTGAGCCCGGTCCAGAAGAGCACAGGCCCCCACCCCCAGCTCTACCTCCTATAATCCCAGCTACTCAGAAAACTGTCCAGAAGACAAAGTTAAAGCCAGCCTGTACAATCTAACAAGACCCTGTTCCAAATTTTGTTTCCAGTCCTGGGGCTTGAACTCAGGGTCTGAGCATTGTCTCCAAGCTTCTTTTACTCAAGGCTAGCACTCTACCACTTGAGCCACAGCACCAGTTCTGGCCTTTTCTGTTTATTTGGTACTGAGGAATCGAACCCAGGGCTTCATGCATGCTACGCAAGCACTCTACCACTAAGCCCATTCCCAACTACCCAAAATAACTTTAAAAAATTACTTTTAGGGCTGGGAAGGTGGCTCAGTGGTAGAGCACTTGCCTTGTATGCATGAGGCCCTGGGTTTGATTCCTCAGCACCACATAAGTTTAAAAAAAAAAAAAAAAAAAGCTGGAAGTGGCACTATGGCTCAAGTGGTAGAGTGCTAGCCTTGAGCTGAAGAGCTGAGGGAGGGACAGCACCCAGGCCCAGAGTTCGGGCCCCATGACTAGATCAAAAAAAAAAAATTACTTTTAAACAGGGATGAATGTATATAGCTCAGTGGCAGAGCACTTGGCTAACATAATCAAGGACTTGGGTTGAACAGGAAAGGAAGGGAAGGAGGGAGGGAGGAAAAAAGGGAGGGAAGAAAGGAAGGATGAGAGGGAAGGAACAAAGAAAGGAGGGGGAAAAGGAAGAAAAAGAAAAGAGAAGGAGGGAAGGGAGGAGAAAAGAAACCCTGGGTACTGGGTCTCTGCATAGGCTGTTTCTCTGGGGGAAGTCTACCACTTGCCAAGGCCTGACCCCTGGTTGCCACCACACACAGTGCTAGAGGGCTCAGATGGGATTTACCCATGCTCTGGCAGGCAGTCACCAGAATTCCAACGGTGGCTCTCATGTGTTGGGGAAGTATGTCCCCGCCACCCCCCTCCTGCCCAGAGGAGCCACTGGACCTGCAGCGCCCCCTAGGAGCTCCCAGAATGCCTGCACCTCTGTGCAGCAGACTGTGCTCTATGCTGTCCCTGCTGGTGGCCCAGGGAAGTGCACTCTCCCCTAGGCAAATCAAGAATTTCTCAGTAACTTGTTTGACTTCCCGGAGGTTTTCTTCCTTTGCAGAGTAAAGACAGGCCATGTTTCTCAAAGGAATAGAGAAAGGCCTCTGAGAAACATGGTGTCCTTTTTTTTCTTTTTCTTTTTCTAAAATCCCTGCACAGAAAACAGCAGCAGCAATAAAAACTACTGAAGGGGGAAAAAGAAACATGACTGTGTGTTGATTTGTTTTTTCAATCAACCAACCTGAATCTCCTGTGGCCAGGACAGGAGAGCCAGCTCTTCCTAGCATATGGGAGTGGCTGGTGGACAAACAAACAACATGCTCATGACAGGATAGACCGTGAGTCCTGGAACTGGACACTAACGGTATTGGCTCTTGTTCTTTTTTTGGGGGCGGGGGGTGCAGGGAAGAGGGGAGGTCAGTTGTGGGGCTTGAACTTTTAGGGCCTGGGCTCTGTCCCTGAGCTCTTTTGCTCAAGGCTAGTGCTCACAGTGCCAGTTCTGGTTTTCTGGGGGCTAATTGAAGATAAGTCTATAGACTTTTCCTGCCTGGGCTGGCTTTGAACCATGATCCTCAGATCTCAGCCTCCTGGGTAGTTAGAATTACAGGTGTGAACCACCAGTGGTTGGCCATTATTAACCCTTTCTAAACTTATGTCACTAGCTCTACCATTCATTCTTGAGCCAGATGACGAAACTTCCTTCAGCGTCCCAAGAAAAGTGGGGAACAGAGGGCAGGAGGACCATGATGGTGAACTCATTTATGTGTTGAACCAGTTTGGTTAGCAAATGTAAAATACTATCAAAATAACACTCAAATGCTGGGCACTTGAAGCTCCCACCTGTCTTCCTAGCTACTCAGGAGGCTGGTATCTGAGGATTGAGGTTTGAAGCCAGCAGGGTCAGGAAAGTTAGTGAGACTCTTCCCTCTAATGAACCACCAAAAAGGCTGGAAGTGGATCTGTGGCTCAAGTGGTAAGAGTGCTAGCCTTAAGCAAAAAAGCTCAGGGACAGTGCGTAGGTCCTGAGTTCAAGCCCCAGTACTAACACAATACACACACACACACACACACACACACACACACACACACACATACACACACACACTTACTTGATGGCCAGGATCTGGACTAGCCCTCCCCATCTGCCTGTTTAGAGAAGCCACCAGAAACCCTGTTGAGATCCACAGCTGACCCACCACCTCAGACATTTGCATGGCAATTCCCAGGGACTCCTTTCTAGGGGACAGCACAGTGAAGCCAGCTGAGGGACCTTGATAGGCACATGCATGATCAAGCACAGGCCACATGGCTGCTCCTTCTACCTCACCCCTCCTTGTAAAAGGCCTCCTCTTGCCCTCCAGAGAGCCCGGTTGGGCAGCTGAGGAAGTTGTCAGGCTGCTTCTGGGCCTCCAGCTCCGCACGCAGCCCAGCCGCTCCACCCAGCCCTGCCTCTCAGCCTAGTGTTCTGCAGGTGTCCACACCACCACAAGGCTGACTGGACTATCTCAGTGGGAACCCCACTATGGGTGTGAGCGTATCTCCTCCACCTGGACCAGTCCCTTACCTCCCTGACTCTCCCACACTGCCTATATCCTCTCTCAGGCCAACTTCAGGGCCTCCAGCAAGTAGCCTGATATTTGATAAGAGGGCCAGGCAGACGGGTCAGGAGCTGAATCCCCTGTGCTTGTCCTGATTCAATTGGTATCAGCCTCCAGCTAGGCCTAGGCCCCGCTCCTGGCCTAGGAGTGGAGGTATCAATGGTTGCTCACGAATGACCTTGAATATTAGAGCGACACAGTTCGGGCAGAGCGTAACAACTCAATTCTAAAGGTGCTGGTTAACCAAATACCAGGAGGGGCTCATGCCAACAGCAGTTCCCAGCTCCTTGACCCGAATGCTATTCAAGGGCAAGTCAAGGACTTGTGTGTGTGTGTGTGTGGGGGGGGGGGACAGGTGTCCAAAGATCTAGATCTAGATTTGCCTGATACCCCCAAAGCTAGGCACGAGTCTCACCTTCCCCTCCACCCTATCACTCTCTCCCTTAGTCCCTGGCTATCACAGCAGATGGGCCCTGGATTCCCAGGGCAGGCAGAATAGTAGTTGATTAAGGATATAAGGATAGATCTCCAATGGGGCACAGCTGGAGGTTTTCAGTACTGAAATACAGAATGGTGGTCCAGTGGGTTGGGAGGCCCCAGGGCCTCAGGGGCCTCCAGGGGCGTCCTCCCTAATCCTGCTGGAAGGAGCCACCAATGGACAACCCCTGGGGTGCTGGCTTCCCTGTGCCTCTTGGCTCTTCTTGTACATTGGAGTGACCTGTCCAGGCCAGTCCGTCCAGAGCCAGCTGATCAGAGAAGAGCCTTGGCCTCTGGAAGGCAAGCTGTTCAGGTGCCCGTGGTTCATCCATTCACTTGTTCCAAGATCTGGGGGTGAAACCAACCTAGGACCCAGACCCAGTCCCTCGGTATAGAAGCAGGTGACTGAGGCTGAGATGGTATCGGCCCCCTTCAGGCCATGAGGACTGGATGAGCCACTGCACAGAACAAGATGGAATCAAGTGTTTTCCTTGGCAGCGTCTTTGAGGGAGGACAGCAGTTCCATTCACCCCCAGTACCTTATAAATGAGGTTCTCATCCCTCCTGGGAGGGCTTTCCAGTCCCTGCCTCCCCAGAGCCAACCCCCCCCAACCCCCCCCCCCACACACACACATTAGCATCCAAGAAGCACACTAACCAGCCAGCCATTGGACTGAACCACAAGAAGTGAGAATAAAATTACTTCTTTTATTTCCCCAAAACTTCAGGGGCGAGGAAACAGCACGTTAACAGTTACGATTGGTCCCCTGTGGACTCACTCGGCCTCTGGGGGGAGGACATACAGCAGCTAGTTGGTTTTTATTTATTTTGGGAGAGTGTTTCCATGGTAACCTGGAGGTCTCTGGAAGCCAGCTGGTCTCTCCTGGCTGGCCAGCCAGAGCTGGGAGGAACTAGAAGGCTCCCTCAAAGGTCCCCAGAGTCGTTCACATCTGAATCTAAATATTGGTTAGTGGGTTACATCTGAAGACCCAGCTTGGGTCCTGTCCCTTCCAATGGGACAGCTGTCCCCTCTTCCCCTCCTACTTTTCCATTACTACCCAGCAACCTCCCACCCCCACATTTCTCAGATCCTGTTTGGTCCTCACTGGGTCCCCACCCACACGCGGGTACC